ATTGAGAGAATTCGAAGAATTCATTCAGAGTTGAAAATTTTGTTATATATTTCATGGTAACACTAAAATCGATTCTTCATCTTCCTATTGGTAGATTCCGTCAAAAAAATTGATGAATAATTTGACAAATATTATACACGACGAAGAAAAGAAACTGCTAAAACTCCTTTTGATGAACTGACCACTCACAACAGGCTGATCAGTTAACACCGATAGCATCATCAAAACATTTGCCCCTGTCAAAACTTTTGCCACCTGTCGAAACTTTCGCAATTTTGCCTTTAATAAAAAAATTTGGCAAAATGTTTCGATGGGTTTCAATTTCAATGCCTGTCGAAACCTCGGGGTTTTGCCCGACAACCTTACTAGGCTCAAATATCATCACTGAATTTATAAAATAATTTATACAAGTAACTAATAAATGGAAAGAGAGAAGAAGAATTATAAGACTAAATACTATTTTCTCTTTATGCAACTTATCAATTCTTTTTAAAATTACTTCATTCTCATTTACTAAAATAAAAAGAAAATAGTACATTTTGTTATGCTTATTTGTAACATATCAGTGATAAATCATTTAACACCTAATCCTAACCCTAACTAATCTCAATTATATCAACTAATCATAGTATAAAGGTAAATTAGTAAATCTACCAATATAATGAATTGTTATAGAAATATATAAATCACATGAATTAATAGTGTAAATATAGAATTTGACCATATCTTTCATGCTTCCTATGGCTAATACTAACTGTATTATTAAATCATATTTGGATCTTATACCTCCTAGTAACTTGATTTTAATAATAAACAACCTATATATTCATAAAATATTATGATTCTCAAGATAGTTCAATTTTATGTTTTTTCGCAGTTTGGCTACTAATTGGTCATTGATTAAAAAAATGTAATATAAACCTATCTTCTATTTATATTTTGATGTAATAAAATAAATAAAACATAAACTCAAACAAAAAATTTAAAATCCAATTCATACATCCTTGGAATTAAAAGTTAATAATAATTAATAAAATATAAATCTAAAATTATTGACCTTCTTGTTTCATCAAAAATTATCAATAATTTATAGTAGAAGTATAAAATTTCTCTCACTATGAAAGAATGGTTTATTAAAATTTGTTTAATTACTGAACTGATTCTAAATTTATAAAAAAGAAAAAAAATCATAATATAAAAATCTTTTATTTATCACAAATATTTAAAATTTTTAACAGTATTTTTATATTTGATTCAAATTTAAATTTACTTTTGTAAAATTTTTTATTAATATATTATAATAAAGGAGGATCAGTTTTATGATAAAAAAAATTTAGTGTAATTTTAATAGTATATACTAGATTTCTAGGCCTTTAAGCAACAAAAAAATTTTCTTTTTCTCAAAAATTCTTCTTTTTAAGCAATTTATATAACACAAATGACTGTCTATTATTATATATCTTATTATATTTACCTTACATAAACACTAATACTAATACTAATACTGATACTGATACTAATATTAATATTAATATTAATGCTAATACTAATACTAAAAGGTAGAGGATAAGTCACATGTGATTAGATTAGATTATAAAGGTAACTTTATAGTCTGCCAGTATTTTCATGATATAAAGGTATTCTCATAGTCTGCCAGTATCTTCATGATATAAAGGTATCTTCATAATCTACTGGTATCTTTATGATATAAAGATGACTTCATAGTTTGCTAGTATCTTTATGATATAAAGGTATCTTCATAGTCCACCAGTGGTTTCATAACCTAAGTATATAATCTGATAGTAATTTCATAACCTAATATCATGATATAATGGTATCTTTATGATCTACTTAGTTTTTCTTTGGGTAGCTTCTTTGTATTTATTGTATTGTTTTAATCTTTTCTTGTATAATATAGTGGTAATTTTATAGTCTAATGATAACTGGTAATGCTTTAATTTAATGGTGATGTCATAATCTAATAGTGATTGCTTTCTTCTTGTTCTTAATTTATTTACATAATAAATTCTATATTATTGCTATTAGCTTTCTATGCTTGTTTGATTACCTGATTCTATATTGTGGTTGATGACCCTCTGTACTAGTTTGGTTACTAATTCTATGTTGAGAATGTATACCTATTTGGTTGCCTTCAGAATGCTGAAATAGTGTAAAAAAAAAGTGACAGGTGGCATCCTGGAACTGGCACAGAACTGGCAGGATGCCAGAGAAATTCTATTAATTTGTTAGTTCTAGATTACTTTTATACCAGTTTGTATGCTGAGTTATTGTATTCCAATTTCAGCCAAAATTATGTAATAGTGCTGGCTGACATTATTGTTAATTTACTGCGCCTTCAGTTCTAAGAATATTCCTGATACTTTTGAGGCCTGATCATGGTTTAAACTAGATCGAGGTACTATATAGGGCCTTTGCAATAGAAAGGGAGGAAACTCCAAAAAAATTATAAATTTTAGTTTATAAGCCAAAAATGTTTCAAATATTATAATTTATTCAGATTTATTATTAACTCATTTTTTATTTTTTTTTGAGTTTCCTTCCTTTCTATTGCAAAGGCCCCATATATAATTAGTAATATTATTATGAAAATAATTGCATGCTGAAAAAAAAAGGAATTGGATAATTTCGGGGTTGTTTCAGGACTAATGATGCTGTTATCTTTCTTCAGTCCATTAACACCTTCAAGCACTTCAGATTTACTAGATATTTTTAGGATCTGCTCAGCTAAACAATTATTAGCTTCTAGAAGGAAGGAGTCTTTTTCTATTAATGCTTTTTGTGCTATGACTAAATCATCTTTTATTTGCTTCAATTCATCTTTTTTTTGCTTAATGAATCTTCTAAGTCCATTTTTGTCAAATTTAGGTTGGTATTTTTTGTAGATAGTTCTATTTTTTCTAGTTCAAATTTACGCTCGAGAGATTCTATTTCTGATAACTTATTCTATGCTAAAGAAACATCTTGCTCTAATTCTTTTACTCTTGATTGGAGAACCTGTATCTCTTCTTTTATCTTGGATTAGAAGACTTGCATCTCCTCTGATTTTATAAAGAATTTACTTTCAGTATCTGTAAGAAAAATATCTTTGCGAGTAATCTGAAGCTTAAGGTCATTTATCTCTGAATGCAATTGTCTTATCTCATCTATAAGCTTAAGATCGTTTATTTTTAATTATAAGTATGTTATTTTCTCTTCAAGTTGATACATCTGATTAGAAAGTTTCTCATTTTCTTTTTTAGATTTATTTAAGTCATTCTGCATGCGCTTGTATTCACTATCTAAGATATCATAGTTATCTACAAACTGGCTTTCCCAATATATAGCAACTTCACAGTCTTTTTTTGCATAAGAAAGTTGTTCTTCAAGATCTGTTCGACTGGAAGGATAATAATTAGCTGGAGTATCTCCAAGTTTATTACTATTATTCAGATCTTTTAAGGTACAGATCTGGAGTATTTTATTGGTATTTTTTTTACTTCAGGCAAAAAAAATCAGCCAGGGCCTTATGATTATTTTTAGCGAATCTATTGCTTATCAATACTCATTGAAAAAAAAATCACTAATACGTATTGAAAAGCACTGGTAGATATTCATACTTATTGATATCCACTGAAAGAGAATATTGATATACATTGAAGAATACCAATATGTATTGAAAACTATTGATCTATATTAAAAGACACTGATTCGTTTTGAAAGGCATTGATATATATTGAATTACTAGGAATATTGATACATATTGAAAGATATTGAAAAAATTATTGGTAGTTTTTTTTACATATATATTCTAACTAAAAAAATGACCGTCCATCTCTATGAAAAATTTTATCAATCTAATGTAACTCTGTTAACTAAAGCTGATATTAAAGAAATTAGAGAATCCAGAGGCAGGATACCTAATGCATCAAAAAAAATAGCTGAAAAATTCCATGTTGGTATTCGGCGTATTTATGAAATATGGAACAATAGTAAACGTCTCTAACAAGGGCTTATTTTATTTTTCTCTGATCAGCCTACTTTGGATAAAAATTCTCAAATTGATAAGACAGAACAGACTCTTGAATTAGTATCATAAGTATCCCTTTTAGCTACAGAGATTCTAAAAAAAAAGGTTAAAATAGATGAGAAGCCGATTATTGAAACAACCAGTATGATGAAAAAAAATAACAAAAATGATGTGATCTCTTTCTCTGATAATCTATCTGATACATCTCGAGAAGTCAGGGTGGAATCTCTTCTTAAAAATCTATTTAATTGTGATGAAAAGTTTAAGGGTTTAACAGCTAATACCATCCTTATATAAAGATTCACATGTATCAGCAAGAAATTTACCAGTACTTAAGGCCAAATAAACCATTTCTTCAGCCTTTGCAAGACATTTTTCAAGCTTTATACAGTTTATGCACTTTTTTGAAACTATCCTCATCAGTCAGGCTAAGGAAATCAGTGGATACTTAGTCCTGCTCTTCTTTTGGCAGATTCTTGACTATTAGAGCCTTGCTAAAAGTTGGGATAATATATGTTTTTTCATGATCCTCTATGTAAAACTGATTTTTAGTCAGATCAGAAATACCTTTGACTTTTCAAATTCCTATCATACCTAACCATAGCATTGAATTAGGCTCACCATTATTAATACAAGCATAATTTCCAACAATAGTAATGATTGGATTTCCTTTTATGTCCTTTAGAGTGACCGCTAAATTTGTATACCATCCTAATGCTTCAGAAATATAATTAGAATTATCTTTTACAGCGAATTTGAAAGGCTTATTAACTTTTTTTCCAAGTGCTTCACCAGTAGCTAAATTAAATCCATCAAATTCACTTCCATTATCTAAAAAAGATTCAGAGATTGATAAATCATTTATACTAGCATGCAAGTATTGTAGGGACGAAAACCACTCATCTTTTTTTGATTTATCCTTCTGAGCCTTTCAAGATAGACACATTTTACGTATTACTGGTAAAAGCTTTGACAATAGCTTGTCATACGTTTCAGGCTGGCTGGATTCTAGAGGTAACTTATCATTTAGTGGTAGTTATTTTTTTTCTGGTGTATGATACCATGCATTGTCTACTTTATTATAACCACCACTATTATCTTTATCATTATCAGAATCTAGAAGCGTATTTTGAAAATTTATAGGTGTGAGAGGCTTAAAATAAGACTGATTAAAATTAGATCATGCTATCTGTCTATTGGGACAACCGCCTTTACTATGACTAGTTTCTTCACAAATATCATATTTACGTATATTTAGTTTCTTGAATTAATTTGTTAGTTGATTTACAGCATCATGAGTTTCATCTATTCCCTTTTCTACTCTATCAATTCTAGTAGAGATATTGCTTCATTGTGAATGAGATCTTTGGAAAGGCTTTACAAAATAATCAGAGTCTAAATCTTCTTTGTTAACTATATCCAAATCTTTTAAAAATTCTGTTAACGTAATAATTTTTTATACCTTCCTTTGTCTTTAATGTAGATAGTGGACCTCTCGGCTGTCTAACAGGTTTAACAATTTATGAAGCCAATGTCTGTACTTTTGGAGCCATCTGTGCTTAGAATTTAGCTTTCTGGTTTTCTAATAAAGTTTGATATTCAGTTTTTTGTTGAGCTAATGCGTTTTGAATTGCTTTTTGTATATCTTCTAAAGAAATTCCTTGCTATTGAAGAGCTAAAATAAACGAAGGTTCATATATTTGCCGAGATGCTCGATTAGATACTAACAGATTTGATATTTTATCTCTTTTATATCTAGCTATTCAGTGTAATTCTATCTCATAAAGCTTTTTAGCTAATTCATCTAATGGCAAATGTTCGCTAATATTCTCAACTTTTTCAAGCCATGACAGTAAAAGAATATCTAAGAACTTTCTACGTAATTCTTCAGGCCTATAGTTAGCTCATCTATCTATTTGTATTATTTTTATATAATTCATCTATAGTCATGTCTCCTTTCATAATTATTCCATACATTATATTACAAAGCTCCTCTTCTATTGTAGAAAAATGTATTTTTAGCCACTATATGGCTTACCAAAATGAATACTAGCTACAACTATCATAGTACTATTGTTAGAATTTGATGCATTAACAGCAATGTTAGTAAGACAACCACCTGCTATGCATCAATCTTCATTTCAGAGACTTTCTACAGCTCTCAACTTGACTATTGCAGTTCCTGGTTGGCCAAAAGCTTCATTCAATGCTTGATTTCCTATTTGACCTGCATTTCGCCTATTTATAGCTACTAAGTTAGCCTGTCCTATATTATCAAGTAAGTTCACTAATTCTCAATTCTGCTTTGTAGTAATCTCTTCATCAAATCATTCCAAGACTCTTCCTCTCATACATCCTCTTAAATACCCTATTGCCTAATCTCTTTCTGTTATTGGAGCTCCTGCATTATCTGCTAGGTCTATACCTTAATTTTGCAAGTATAATCTAAGTTTTGTAAGAAAATCAGAGATATCATCACCCCAATCAAAAAATGGTTGCGGTATTCCTGCCATGTTTATTTGATTTAGTGGATTATTCTGTAATGCTAAAATTTGTTCCTGTAAATTTAAAATATTCTGGTCTTTTTACCTAATCACTAGCTAAAAAACAAACTTTTCACGTAGTAATTCACTAATGTGGGCTTATTTTCTTGCCATATTACCTATCATTCTATTTACTTAGTTTTGAGCATTAGTTTGATATTAATGAAGATCACCAATAGCCCTTTGTTCTACCCCTTCAGCAAGTTGCCTTCATATAATTTCATTATTATGCTCAGCTTCTGCATCATATCGTCTTCTTTGCTCCTAGATTATATCCTGATGCAGATTATTTTCTTTTCAACGAATTTGCCTTGTTACCTTTTTTATTTGATCTATCAGAATATCTCTAGCTGTTGCTCTATTATTCAGATAACTATCTATAGCATTTGCTAGCTTAGTGATTGTGACCATATTATTATCAGAATTATACAAGTCTGGAGAATTACTTCGCTCTAGAGAATTTTTTCATGATGAGATAATCTTGATCCAGCATCGCAATTTTTCTACCTTCTCCTTAGATTCTACTTATCACTTTTCTAAGCTAGAGATATACCTATCCTTATTTCGCACATCCTTTCTAGCTTGATATAACTGATTTTTTAGGCTAGAGAGTTTGAACTTCAGCTCTATTATCTTTTCTTTTAAAGCATTTTCAAGCTATTCTATTTCCTTATTAAGATCCTGGATTTCTTGCTCATATTGGGTATATTCTCATTCTAGTTAATTAATTCGTCTTTTATTCTGGTAATTAATTTTTACCTCTGATTGCAATGCATCTCAAAGATATAAGTTATTCTTCTTCAGCTCAGCTTTATATTCTTCACATATTCTTTTTTGCTTTAAGTGAGATCTGTAGAATGTCATTCTTTTTTTTTGTGATTATAAAAGAGAATGGGAGAACTGGTTATTTATATCAATCCTCAGAAAGCTTAAGACTTAGATCAGAATCTTGCTTTACAGAAATTTTATTACAGACCTGAGGATATTATCGGACTGCTGAAAAAATGCAATGGCTTGTAAGAATGCCAGATATGGATTTGCTTTAGCTTTTATAAAAAATTAGCTTAACAAATCAGATTCACAAGCCTCGACCCAAATATATTCCCCAAGCATCTTTTAGTAATATTACTGTACCTATGGAAGTTATTCAAGTTGATTTATGCTATATGCCTTATGATCAAATTGAAAATAAAACCTATAAATTCGCACTTAATTATATAGATATTGCTATTCATACTAAATGGTTCTATCCTTTAACTAAACGTGACTCTGCTAGTGTAGCTAAAGAATTTGAGAAACTTTTTAAATCTCAAATATGCTCAATTGACTGGTCTAAAGTTAAAGTTTTAATGGTAGATAGAGGCATTGAATTTCAAGGTAATGTTATAATATTAATGAATAAACATGATATCCAAATTCAAATAGCTAATTCTAAAGAATCTATGGGTATTATTGAGAGATTTTATCATACAC